CGGAACGTGACCCCCCCACTCCGCCCAGCCTCGCTGTCTACACACACCCCCACCGACGTTCCCGTCGCCACCTGTGACCTGAGCCCCCGTCCTGGGACATCTGGAACCGGCTTCTGCACCCCCAGCAGCGCCGTCCTCTGACGGAACGTCTGGAAAGCTCAGCACGGGCGCCCCTTCCCCGGCCCGGCCCAGGTCCGCGCTCGCGCCGCACGTCGGGTCCCGCCCGCCCGAGGCCCGCGGCGCTTCTGCCCCAAGTGCCGGGACAGCGTCCCGCTCCCCAGGGCCCCCGAGGCCCGCGGGCTCCTCTTTCTCCTTCTCACCCACCTTCAGGGACCGACAATCCAACACCAGGACCTGAGGAGCAGCATTGTGAAGAGCGACAGCACCCGGAACCCCCACACAAAAGATGGCGGAGTGCTCGGGGCCGCACATGCGCAGAAGGAACCCGGAAATCCCTGTCCCATAGGCCTCCTGCGAGGGTGACGTCATTGCAAGGCAAAACTACATTTCCCAGAAAGCGAAGGGAGCGAGGATGCACATACGCAGAAGAAACAAACAAGACCTATACTCCTGTGCCTGTTCCGTTAGCGGGCAGTGAGACTACATTTCCCACAATACTCTGGGACTTCACATTAGGAAACAAACGAGAAATTTTTAAAATTTTACACTGCACGGAGTACTGCTACCGGGAGATCAATCCTCGTTAGATCACGACTGGTCTCCAACCAGGCAATAAACTAGTCTCTATTCCACAGATGTGGAATTCTGATTTTCTATTAGATGTTGGTTTGACAACTTGAGACTTTGTGGCAGTAATGGGGAAATTCAAATGGGGGCCTGGTATAGCCTTTACAGACCCATGTCTATTTTATCCATGCATTTTTAAGTATGAAAAAATTGAGTCCCAGTCAAGATGTCAGAATGGATGGTTCCCAGCGTCCCTCTCACAAATCAACCAATTTACAACTACAAAAATATAACAACAGCCAAGCTATGGCTGCTGGAGCTCATGGGTGAAAGGATGACAGGACCCGAGCTGACAGTTCACCAGAGAATTTCCGCTTTATTCGGGGGAGAAGCATACATTTATATAGAGCCGGTTCCGGGAGAGGGTGGTTAGTACACGGGGGTGGTAGTTGATTGGCCGGAGGTGGGTAATGATTTCTGATAGGCTGCGCCTTGGCACCGGCAAGATTGTTAGGACCCGGAAGAGAAAAGCGCCATGTTTTAGGGAGTGCCTCCTTTGGGGTCTTCTATGGGGCCTTACATTCCTCCCTTTTTCCTCTATCGGGGATAAGGTTGTTGAGGGCTCCGAACTACTTCCTGCTGGAGGGGGGTGTCGTGGGAGGAGGAAACAGGGAGGAGAAAGAAACCCCCATTATACCCCAAAGGAGAGTGGTGAACAGGGTGATTTCAAGGGGAGAGAAATCCATGAAAGTTCCTTGGAGCCATAGGTCAGCCATCTGCTCTGTCCAATGGGTGTAAGAGGTTGTGGGGAAGATCATCCATGCATCTGCAGCTAGAGTGGTCAGGAGCAAGCGCCACCGGTGACTTAGATCCATTTCGGCAAGATGTCAGGCGTTCTATTGAGGAGCAGGAAGGGTCTTCCGTGGCCAGCAGCTGGTAATTTCTAAGTAAAGGCTGGTTAAAAGCTTGGTTAGAAATTTTACTTATTTGGGCCGGCCCGGTGGCGCACTGGATAAGTGCGCCGCTTGGGAAGCGTGGCGGGGCTCCCGCCCGGGGGGTCGGGTCCCCCCACCACGC